ATCCTTGAGTAGACTAGTCTGTGCATTTGGGAGTGTAAACAAAGGTGGCGGGCCTTCTTCAAGTAGACCGCAGGGTACTGGTCTTTCAAACAGCCGAAAAGACAAAGCGCAGTGAGGATCACTATCGCGCTAAAGGCAGATGCAGCACCCAGCACAGGAAGCGAATCCCTCGGCTACACTTGTTTACTTCAGGATTGATCTTCACATTCATGTTCATTGAGCTTTATCTGCGCAAGGCGATCTATGCCATGATGCAGGCCAACTGCGTATAGGAATCCAGCAAATACATGTCTTTTGTTGTTTTACCAAGTTGCACAGATCTGATCGTAACAGTACTGGTGGTGCTACTTGCATTCACATCTCCTGCATAACACATTACATGACGGTGCGAATTGAAAGCATGCTGCTTCAAACGCTCTTTGCCGTCGCACTGACAACTTTAATGCAAAATGCAGAAAACACGTCTTGCAGCATTCAGCTCCTGTCACCGTCTTATTGCTGGCCATTCTCAGCAGTTTGGGCTTGACCTGCAGGGGCTGTGACAACTTGAACCCCACTGCCGCCATGGCAATATGGTGCAGTGTCAGCAAAGAAATGGCGATGAGAGTAAAGGTATTCGTATGTATTCTTTTGCCTTCTTTCCGTGGAGGGCAACACTGCACCAGGAGTCCTCTTATGCGCTTTGACTTGATATATATATATATATGTATATGAGGGTCTGGGTGGGCCTCTTTAACTGTCAGGCTCATCACATACCCCCAGACTACATCTGGAACTATTTATAAAATAGGTGCGCTGCCTGCCAGTAAAGAGACCTCCTAGACCCTTAGCTTTGTTCCCCTCTTCCTTGATCAATCACAGGACAATGCAACTTGAAAGAAATAACTGCTCAGACGGATTTGTAAGTAGTTCCAAGACCCCATGTCTATCTGCACAGTAACCATTGATTGAAAAGGCCCACCCAGGCCCAGGCTCTAATATATATATATATGTGATTATATGAGCATCTCCGCGGTCCAAGCTGGTTCTCTACCCCAAAACAAAAGTATCCCGGCTCGTAGCCTCCTCAATGGCCAGCAGCGTCCTGAGAAAAGAGCCAGGAACCTGAAGGAGCCGATGAATCTATCAGGTTTGAATGGCTTTGAATGTTGAGATGTTCAATGGAGTGAAAAGGAAAGTATGGCTGAGAGATCAATGTCTTCCCCAACATATACAGCCATTGAATACTGCAATATGTAATGATATGTATAGGCTGTATAGGTTTAAGTTCATATGAGTCTGCAAATGTCTGCAATGTCATGTTCACCACCTGTCGCACAGCTTGCACGTAGGGAGGCACAGTTGTTTATGAATCGATCAACTCTCACAGCCTATGACGGGCCCGGTTTCAACTGTCTTCCCCTTTGGAGGCTCAGGTTGGTTCCAATGTGCTTTACTCCATCACCAAACACCACTAAAACTGGTCGAAGACTACCGCTTGCCTCGCGGTCGAAAGCAGACGCTGGCAGTGAGGCATCCTCGAACCTTGGCCGGTACAGCCCTGCTTCTCAGTCCTACCAGGTCTCTGGTCTCTTTTTGTCGCAAAGGGTCTACAGCCGAGATGCACATCTCTACCCGCGCTTCGAGGATGTCGCACCTCGGAAGCGCGGAAGAGTGCCCAGAGAAGGTGCGACAGAAGGCGAATGAAATGAGTTTTGGGGGTCCAAACGGATTGTCGCGACTCCAAAACAGACGCGGTCTGGATCAGCTCCACCTCGCAGCCAGCGATGGGTCTTGACTTAGGCTTCATGCATAGACGTGTAAGGCTAGTTGCCTGCAAATCACATTCATCGGAGTGTAAGGCCTCGGTCGGAACAAGAGAAAAGACATGAAACGACTATTGCACCTATTTGATAAGAGATCATCATGGCGTGTCTGATTTGGGGTTGCTAGGCTGCTAGTCAAGGCAGCATTGTGGTTCAATATCAATTCAGCACAGTGGATTGAAGACACAATCACTGTCTTTGCAATGAACACCTCAGAACTCTTGAGCCAAATCTTCACCTGAGGCAACCACACAAGGCTCAGTGCAACAAACTTGAGCCACCAGTCCACATAGCACTTGGATCCGCATGAAAACATGCGAGATGTGTTCGGTTCGGTCAGATCGTGAGCCCAACAGCTGAGCCCAAGCGGGCCACTGCGCAGCTGTGCTCACGACACCCTTGAGCCGAGAGGCCGCAAGTGGTCAAAGATCGATTGAAGGCATTGAAGGTTAAAGGGTTGGCACAAGTTCAAAGAACTTTATGCAGTATCTATATAATCAATATACATATTACTAAATGTTAATTGATTAATAACTATTTATATAGTTACTTATAAATACTTATATATATACATACACTGTTGATTTGCAGAAGTTGTGTGGAATCTGTTCGAAATCGAGACAAAGCATGCTTGTGATCACAAGCTCTTTTACAGCGCTCCACCCGCCCTCTCTTCCAGCAGGTTCGCCATGCGAGCAGCTATGGTGATCTTCAGCGTAATCCAAAAGAGCACACCAAGAACGGCACCGTATAGGAAGTTTCGTGCTACCTTGGAAACAATCACCAAAGAACATGCTTCGTGCTACCTTGGTATAAGCAGTATGCATTCATCTTGTGATGTACCCAGAGTTCTTCGCGGTTGGACAGAATGAGTGTAAGCTTCACCAAACCAAAACGTCACCAATGTCTCAGCTGAGCACCATCTCGTTAAAACGCCATTCGAGTTCCTCGGTCGTGGCCTGATTGTTAGTGTAGAAGGCCATCTCCTCAAAGAAATAAGAAACATGTTTGGAAGAAAGAACATACAAAGGCTACATGTTCTGCATCAAGGCCACATGTTCAAATCCCCATTCCGCTCCTCAAGTGAGGTCTCCTTCAACACACGCCAGTACCAGCTGACGGGATCGACCTGCCAAGTCTCGCTTTTTTGGTTCGAGCAAGACTAGGTTCCTTTGAAAGAAGACAAACAAACGCACTATTGCGATGTAAACGAAAACTGCAAGGCACAAAAAGGAAACCTCGCTTCTGCTCGCTCGCACCTCCCGACGCCTGGCAGTCAGCAGCTCGTAACGCGCCACAGCATCCAGGACGCCGAAGCCGGCGGCGATGGCCTCCTCGTGGCGGAGCACCTTGCCCTCGGCGTCCAGCGTGAGCTCTGCCCTCGTGGAGTCGGAGCCCGTCGGGGCCCGTCGGGGCCCGTCGGGGCGTCTCGACGGTTCATCGAGAAGTCTCTGAGAAGCCGAAGCATCTGGTTGGAGTTGAGTTCCGGAATCCAATTTTGAGATTGAAACTCCAATTATCCTTGTACAGGCTTGCTAGGTCTTCTTCAATCCCCACGAGTCCTATAAGCAAACCAAGCTCAATCACTCTTTCCAATTTTGGCTCGGTCTGCCTCAGTGTTGTTTCCACTCGCACTGCTGCACCGGGGACTTTCGGCACGTCCTCCGGGATCAATGAAGCTGAAACAAATCTACGGTTTCCTACAAGTCCAAACAGTGAGGAAGAGCTCCTCCGGAAGCTCCAGAAGTTTTGGGCTAGGAGGCAACGGGGCCACAAAAGCCACACGCCAGCGAGCTGTGATGAGGCCAGGCTCTAGCTGCCATGCCTCCATCTCCTTGACCTTCACTTGAGACGCCAAAGGTTATAACATGTATTTAAATGTTACACAATGGTATACATGTGAAATTGGTCAAAAATTGATCACTCCACCAGCGCCAATCCTTGAAGTCTTCCAAGCGCTCAGGTAGCAGCTCTTGCCATTGCTGCATGGCTTCAAGGTACTCCTTCGAGCCGTGCAGCGTGGCCAGCGGCCCCTGCGGCGAAAAGGTCCTAGTAGCTTCTTGTTCCTAGTAGTAAGGCCAGGAGCCCCTAGTAGCGTCCTTGCTCCTAGTAGCGATGCCCTTTGCTCCTAGTAGCGTTCTTGCTCAAGCTCGCAAAGTACTCTGACCATCTGCCTCATAGCTGACATTGTCAGCAATTAGGCTTCTGTCTATCATGAAGGGCAAGTTTTGCGCCAACTGCACCTGACAGGTCGAGTCGAGCGTGAGCTGGGGAGCTCCACAGCTCGGAGCGTGGCCTCCACGCTTTGCGACTCTGGCTGTGCCCGGAAGGTCACACCGAACCTGGTACTTTCGGACGAAATTGTGGAAGTCAAGCCAAAGTGCTGCTGTAAAACAACCAACAGTTGCAAAGCAAGGAGTGTTACAAAAACATTTTATACTATGTATACTGTAAGTAATAGAAAGCAAAGTCGAAATTTCAAATTCCTGGAGCAAATGGCAGGTTGCATTCAATAGCCGGTCTGCTTCAGGCCGCCTCTCTATTCTGGATTGCCATGGAGCCAGAAATGTAAGCCCTGCGGCTGCTGCATATGTGACATTGTGACATGAACAGCACGATCTGCTGAGGAATAACACAGCCTTTGACAGTATTGATATACAACAACCAACTGAGCACATATGCGTCGCACACTATATCAGTAGAGAACCAATATGTATATAGAACATTATAGAACAAACACAGTTTACAGACTTCTTTTCACGACTGCAGTCCTCTGCATGCCAGGAACGCCCCCAGCGCAGCTGAACAAATCGGACGGCGATGAGCCATCAATCTTTATTGCAAGGCAATTTGCAAAGGATGGTAAAGGTGAAGTGAACCGAACGAAACATGGTAAGTTTGTTCACAAAAATATTCGAGGCCCATGGAAACTTATATCAGTTGACAAGATGATCGAACATGATATATTAGCATATTAATGTTCGTATGTTCGCTATGTTCGTTTTATGTGTCTCCTTGTCAATATCTGTGAACATGCAGTAAAGAAATCTTGACGTTCCAGGTGGAGCTCAGTGGCTTGATGAAAGGTGACAAAAAGCACGAAAGCAAATTGGCGGAGGACACGAGATATAGATTTGATAAACGCCTATAAAACCACTGCATATCAAACACAATCAATAAAGGTCTGCAAGGTGCCTTGAGTGCCTGCAGAAGAAGCACGGCGTGATGCCTCTATCGAGTTTATGAGATCCAGAAGTGGTCACTGCAACCGAGGCTTAAAGATATAAAAACAATGTGCAAGGAAAAGTTATCCTTTTCACAAAGGCTTCACATTGGACTTCAAACAAGAGACTGAACATAGCTAAAAAAACAAACACTGGAAATTCTAGGTATAGCCCGTCTCCACACCACTACCCTTTAAGACTGCGATGATTCCTTTACCAAATTTGATTATGAGTCTACTTCTTATGACTTATACATACTTATTCTGCTTCTTGTAATGTTCTTCTGTCCTTTTGTATTCTTTCTCTAGGCGCTTTGCACAAGTGCTGTGCCGGCATGCTGCCACTGTGCCTTGCCTCTGGTGACAGAGATCGAGGGCCATTTTTTCCTCGTGCTAATCTCCTCATCCCGCAGCGAAGCAAAACCCTAAGGCGGTGGATCTCTTACGGTCTGAGTCTGTTCTCCTCGGTTCCTCAATACGTAGTGAGGGAGAACCTAGGGAGACACGATGAAAGCAACACATCAGCACTCCTACGAAAACCTATATGCATAAGGTCATAATACAGCGATGGCCTCCAACCCAATAGCGACGGCCTTCAACCTATATTGATCATTAAGGTCATATTCTATACATCCGTGCCGTGCATCTTCACACTTCGGTGACAACTGAAATCAGCGACGTTTCGCCTCGTGCCGCTGTCGGCACAGTGGTCACACCCTCCTCGGTGAACGGTCATTCAGTCTTCAGTGATTTAGTTCATTAGGCACGACTTTTGCTGAAAGACTTTACAGAAAAACGAGCGTAATGCAACAGCGTAGAGCAAAACGAGCGCACTGGGCCACTGGGGTCCACACTGGCGGCATGGCTTTGGATTTGGGAGCCCTGAACGCAGGAAGCGTCACGTGAGAACGGACGCTGCGTCCGAACACAAACGCATGCAAGAACACGGCCTGGGCACCGCTGAAGCACGCCACACGCGCCTCTCCAAACACTGTGAAAAGAGGCGAAACATTGGAGCTACAAATGCCACCCTGTCCTCACCAGCTCTCCCTGTTCCGTCGTGTCAGCCTAGGCTACAATGAGTGATGGATCCAAAGCAAAAACAGTAATGGAGATTTAAACAGTTACCTGGAGATCACAGGCGAGGAAGAGATCAACAAATTGTTGTTTGGCTTGCCTCAGGCATAGCAATTGAAGAACTAGCCTAGAGGCGACCTCTCACCTAATCTGCTCGTGCTTGCCAGAGTTACGATCTCTGAATTGTTTGGCTGCTATGTGGCAGCGCCGCTATTTGCCTCTGAGTTGCTGGTACATGTTTGTTGGTACTCGCGTAAGTTTGGACCTTTGAGCTGTTCATTTGCTGCGATGTCAAGCAGGACATCGCAACAAAAATCAACAAAGTAATACATGGTGACATAGTTTGTTGGTTTGGCTGGTTTCTTGTGATTAGAAGGCAGGATGGGGGTTGTGGGAGGGAGCACAACAAACAACACCTTGCCTGGTAGCTTTCCTTCTTTTCCTTGTCTCGGTCCTTCAATCCTTCCAACCTTTCTTCTCTTGCAACATGCTATGTGTTGATACAACATAAGTGTTCACTGAAAGGGGTGTTCATCGCTACTGTAAGTTTGTCTTTAACGTTCTTTAATCCATCTAACTACTGTAAACCAGTTGGGTCGGTCTGGCAATCGGTCTGCCTTGTTGTATTGCAATGGGTCTGCCGTTTGCCTTTAAGGCACATAGCACAAGGCAAAAGTAAAGACAAGGTACCTTCAAGAAGGGACCAGCAGACTTGGTCCTTGCAGCCAAGGATGATTGAATGCTCATACGTTCGCATGGTGCTGGGCAGGTGCAAATATTGTTTTCAACTCATTTACCGCCTTCTTGTACTACTCTTCCCGCTTGGTACTTCAGTGTGGGCCTCAGCTTTACGATCGGAGCACCGAAGGCACCGAAACCCGGCCTGCCTGCACTGGCATCTTACCTGACTCAGACGCTCACAGCTGACTGGGCGTTTTCCGCTTGTGGCCCTATGAATAGACATGCGCTAACAACAACTGCTTGTCCGCTGCAAAACACTCGCAAAGGTGTTGAGCATGGTTTTCTGCACAGAACGAGCAGAATTACACAAACGCGGCTCAAGGCAACAACAAGATTTGCCACATGGCTAGCTGAAGAAGTTTGGATCCGAACGCATATGACAGCTTTGTGCAGCACATTGGTTCATCAGAACTCCCCTACTTTGATCAAACATGTCTTTGAAGGACTTCCTGTCAAAACAACCTTAAGAAGCCGTCTTTTGCCATACCTCCACACTCTGCACAGCAAGAAGTGCCTTTCTTCTCAAGCTTCTCCTTCTCCTGGTCATCTCCATCTGTCTCATTCTGCTTTGCGTGCCTTGCATTCTTTCCACCTTTCGGTTTCTCAAACACCACAGTGCTTTGCACTTCTTCGGCCTCCGGAGCGACTTCTGCCTCCGCTTCAACGGCCTCATCTGCTTCAACGGCCCCTTCCGGCTCCACCGGCTCCACCGGCTCGGCCAGCTCAGCCGGTTCGGCAGGCTCGGCAGGCTCGGCCGGTGGATGGGATTCGATTGGGGCTGGCTGGGCTGGCAAGGGCGGTGGTGGAGGTGGCGGAGTGGTTAAGACAATGGGCTGAGCATTCAGTACCACATCTACCCGTATTTGATCGGGCACTTGGCACTTGTCACTTGGTGCATCTGCAGCCTCTGAAATAGTGCCACCACTTGTAGCCGTCTCAGTCTCGGTCTGTGGACTTGTTTTTGCATTGCTTCGCTCCTGGTAAGTGAAACTTGCAAATCAAGAAATGGCAAACACATTCGGATAGCTTGCAGGCTGTCTTTCCAATGTCAATAGCATGGTTTCTGTATGAGCTCTGCTTGCTGACTAGTCTACTCGCCATAGTGTGGCTTAGCGTGGTCACGGGACGTCACGGGGTCCTCGGTGTGGGCATGCCGCCGGAAGAAACTTCTCAACTTGGGCGGTGTCTTTCCTGGATCCTGGAGGACCGAGTTGCAAGATTGGGAGATCAGACTATTCGTTGATAGTAAAGAATATATATATATACCATATGATCAATTATCGGATTATCGCCCAAAGCGGGAACTTCTGTCGATCAAATCCTGGCCGATCTGTAAAATCAGTGTTTCCCAGTTCACAGCTCTTCTCCTGAAGTTTGGCTGGCTCTTTTTGCTCGAGCTCATCTTCGAGATGCTGATCAGGCTGGCAATCCTGTGAATCTGTCGGCTCCAAGCTGCATCCTGTCTCCCTCGAATGCTCCTCGCCATTCATTCTAGTTCAACGAGAAAGGTGAAATACATTGGCTAAGCAACATCACAAGAAAACTTTCTTTGGGCCTCATTGCTCTTGGAGAGCCCAGCGTCCGATACCCTCAGCAAGCTTCGACTATCCATCCGATGAGACAAACAGCGCTTTCTCCCATTCAAAATGTTTCTGATCCACACTGCACAAAGAAGCAACATGTTTAAAAAAGGCCTCCAAAAAAGGCTCATGCAACCAGGATGCATGGTGGCCTCAGTGGATGGCTGGACCTCAACTGTGACCTCGCCCACCTTGGCTTCCTCAGCTTCCTCAGCCTCCTCAGCCTTGGTGGTCTTGGCCTCTTCAGCTTCCTCGGGCTCCTCGGCTTCGCCTTCGGAGGAGTTCTGTGGAGGCGACTCGAACTGCAGCTCTCCCTCAGCACGGAAGGCGGGCAGAAAGGACCCAGGACCTTCCCGACCTTTCCCGAGCTTTCAGCCAAGGGGCCGAATCTGTATTTGATCCTTGGACCATATGATCAGCTTCCTGCATTAAAAAAAAAGTGCTTATGATGAATCCAGCTCCACTGTTCTATCTTCTTTCTGGGTTGTAAAAACACTTTTGTGCAAGAACGCAGCCAAATGGGTAGCATTTGTCGGCCAAATGGACACGTGTATAGCAACTATGAATGAAACATATGAGTCCGTCGGCCTCCAGAGTTGGTTCCTGGGCTTCCATCCCGGCCATAGGCCTCAAATGCGAGAAAGACAGGCTGCACAAAGAACACAATTATAGGACAAAGAACATATCGTAACAAAAAAGGTAACCGAAGCAAAACTCACTTTGCTTCAGTGACCATAGCAAAAACAACTACGTACTAGATCTAAACTAAACATCGAACACTTCCAGATTCTGTCTGAGGCCATCCACGACTTTGGTGCTGAACAAGGTGCACAACTGAAATACTACAACTTCGAAAGTGCGTGATGTGTGATTCGGACAATGATGTGTATGCTGTATGTCTTTGTAAACAGTGTTTTTTTTCTGGGTGACTAGCTGCAGCTACTAGACCTCCGTATGGTGCAAATCTCCGTTGGCTTCAATGTTGCCTGACATGCTTTCCTTGATCTCAAAAGAAGCTGAAGTCGATATCCACATGCGAGGCCCACATGCCAATGCTGTAGACTGCATGTTGGCAACCCAGGATGCTGCACATAGCACCACGGAAAGTACATGGACATGGAAATTGCTGCATATATGCATCACAACCTGTTCAACTTCCGCAGCAGCCTCTCACTTTCCAGCCATTCTACTACTGTCATTATTGCGAATCCATGAAATGGACCCCGACAGGGTTCCGTGTCATCGCGACGATAGGATATATCTCCCGGGTATCCGTGCAAAGATGGATCTTGGCACTTCGCATGGGAAAGCTAACTATGTTATCACTGCGGAGGATCTTGCTACTATGCATGTGCCACAGGCCGGAGAGCCTACGGCTGATGACCAGCTGGCAACTTGGAGGCATAATGGTCCCTCACTTTCCAAGAATGCTTTGCAGTTTGTCTGAGCCTCGTAAGGATAAGTTTCTCATTGTCCTCTCTCCGATCTTGGCAGCACTTCAGTTTCTTTGGGATAGATTTTATGATTTTTGCATTGCCCACAATCTCCCTTCGGATTATCTGCCGTGATGCGGCTAGATATGGATGGCCGACTCCCTTCCAATATAGCTCTGATTCTAACTACCCCTAACTACCCTGCCATCTCTGCTTGTGGCTTCAATCTCTGTACTTGTGTCATCTCTCTCTCTCTCCTTTTTGTTGCTTGCCCTTTGTGTGGGCTCCTCTTTGGCTCTTCATTTCGCATATGCATTGCAAACAAAATACTACAACAAATATTGATTGAACAATATTTATGTAGCCTACATATATATATATAAGTTCAATTCATACAATTTTATCCATATCATATATCAACTCACCTTACACCATTACAATTCACACCAGCTCAACTCACACAACTCAACTCATCCAACTTACCTCGAAAAACTCAACTCATCACACCAACGCACCTGACAAAACACTCAGAGTTTAGACAGTTTCACTTCTCCACGCTCCTGCGTACTTTGGCTGGGAATCGTTTCACTGGGAATCGTTTCACCTGTAGTAACAATAAAGCTGTTTAGTATGTCTTTGAAGCTTCTTGGTAACTAATTAGAAGCTTATTTATGAGAAGAGTTGGAAGGACTAGACTTTGTCCTGTGATGTTCTGCACATGAGGTCACCCCCCACCTCCGCAGAAAAGGGTGCCTTCCATGTCGCGCTGGATATCACAGAGATAGTAGGCATGGATCATTGCAGCATGTGTTCTTGGTATCACATGATGGCGTATGACGGACCACAGTACAGGTGTTTTTTGACAAACAATATTACCACATATTACCACGAAACTTCATACACTGTTGACTTGACAACCATCATCCTCAAGTGGCTGCTTCCAGAGACATCTTGTGACCCAGAGCCTCAGCCTCACTTCAAGAGTTGCAGCTCTTGGACACACACACAGTGCTGAATCTAATTGAGTGTGCGAAAGCCCATGGACATCAAAGTAGGAAAATATTGCATTATTGCATATATGGTTTTTGAACATGTGGGAAACAAGTGGATTATTTGGAGGGTATCGGAGTGACGAGGACAAACTATAGGACATTATGACGCTGCGAAAAGGAAAAACGTTCTGTCAAACAACATATAGGAAATAGTGCACTCATTTGTATAATTGGGCAAGAACATCCGCGTACTTTTGCTCCTTGGAGGGTGTTACCGCAATATTATGAGTATTTCTTTTTGAACAATACTTTAATAGACTACAACCTATTCTATTATGCACATATATATATTGTTATTTCATTTAGACTATTTTTTTAATAATTAGATTATGGTACCATTAACTCTTGATTAAGCACTAGTTTACTTCTGTTACTGTTGATCTATAAACATACACATAATTATTGCAAATGTATATATATAAGGTATATATGACATATGCTATTAAGTACTAGCAATATCTTACTGTTTACATACATATTCCATTATTGATATGTTAAAACATGACAACATTGTTTACAATAATTTCAGCAATATGTATATGTATATATATATATATTTGTTATATTATTTTGTTCAGGGGCATCAAAAAGCTGTTTGTTTTGATTGAATCAATAGTCATTGCTGCGTTTGCCCCACTCTCGGACAACACCAATCATCTAGTAATGAAATTCAAATTTGTACGAGTGTCGCTTTGCACTCCACCCACTTTCTGAGGCGCCATGCCAGGCCGCGGGATGCTCCGAAGCACATGACGTGTCCACCATCACGCACCCACCAAACGTCACAGCATTTCAGGCCTGTACTTGGCACATCTGTGCTTGAAGTATCTCGAAATATCTTGAAGGGAAATCTGAACAAGGGTCTTCATTGAAAGCAACGTGGTCACCGGATTTATATTAGATCTGTTCAGCTCTGTGCCTTTTTGATCCAAAGTTGTCAGGTCCACCACTGGGTCCTGACCAGAAGAAACTGCATGAATGGGGCTTCCTTGGGTTTTGGACATTTAAACAGCAAAACCAAACTCTTCAGGGTTGAAATGAGCAAAGCCATCTCCTCAGGATTCTGGATGCGCAAAACTTCTCCAGCTGGAAGTGTCTTTCGAAGTCGCAAGGCGAATGCATCTTCAAAGTGTTCCTTACAACAAGTATGTATGTACTACGAGTAGTATAAATATAGGGCATTCTGATGCATTATACAGTATGTCAGTATGTCTGTGAATAGAAAACATAACATTCTGACGTCACTGTGTGGCTGAGGTTGCGCTGACACCAAGGCTCAAATGGCACCGCCAAGTCTTCGACATCGACGGGATTCCCAGCTGCATGATGTTGCAAGGCCTGATGCTGTCTTCGAAGACTTCGGACGGTGGCATGGGAGACTCATACGAAGGCGTCATGGGAGGCGCACCTGATGCTGTGCCCAGGCAGCTTCAGTGAAGCTCCGAATGTATGACCAAGTTGGTGGCCAGGGAAACCAAGGGCCTCGAGACAACGAAAGCACCGAGGGAAGCCCACAAACCGCAGCAGCTCGTGTCCATGAGCTCGTGTCCATGAGCTCCCCAACTAAACTCTTTTTCTGCAAAGCAAATAATTTGCTACTAGTAACAAAGGGCATCGCCACTAGGAGCCAGAAGCTACTAGTAGCTCCTGGCAGTACTACTAGAAACAGGAAGCTATTAGTAACAAGTGCACACAGGGTGCCCTCTTTGGCCTTGCCTTTCGGGCATCTGGAGAGCAGACCGCTCCGCAAATTCACAGCCTTGATTTGAGATGATTCGAACTTGTCCTGTGTGCGAAGTTCTTTGAAGCTTCAACTCTTAGCTTATGGACCCAAAAGTGCAATGCCAAAGGAATGTCGAGTCCTCAGCATTGACAAGTTGGGCTTCTTGCTTGAGAACTTGAGAACTACATAGACAAAACATGCGTTGCTCAAGTTTTGACATCAGGAGCCGTACAGTACCTCTCCTAAAGCACTGTCAAGAAGCGTGCACACAACCTCCATTTGGTCATAGCTTCAAATGTGGTTCGAAGACAGTCTGGAGAATGGACGGAGACAAAACCTTGCAGTGGAAGCAAACCGCAGTATATCAATCTGTTGAGGCAAGTCTTAATAGTCTTAAACATTACAAATTTGACACCTTCTTTGGAGCAAGTTGGACGACAATGCTTCATACAAGTGTTTAATTGTGAAGGCTTGCCAAGCAAATTACGTAGGCGGCAAGTGCCAGCATCATCCACGTTGCCGTTCACGTCCATCGGAGCTTGCTTGACCTTGCTGCATAGGGCAAAGAAAATCAATGAGTACATCCCTCTGTGAGGCTTTGCAAGTACAACCCTGCCCCAGCACATGCAAACCTGGAGGCATGTGAACAGTGCAAAAGGATCCTGATCACCCACGCTTGGACATTCCACCATTGTTGCTTGAAAGTGATGTTGGTTTTGATCAGAATCACACCAAGCTGCCTTTTGCAGATTGTTCCCTGTGAGAAGTTTGTCAGCCGCAGAAAGTGCCAACATCCCTCCCACTGAAAAGCCCACAGTGATGATCTCTCCTGAATCGGCAACTGCCTAAGAGCCCTTCTTGAACCAAATGACAATCAAAGCAACCACTTGCAGGTGGCTTTACAACCATGCAAGACAATTCAGGAATTGCCAGCTCAGGTTCTGTAGCAAGGCTTCGCCGAGTTTACGGCATCTAAACTTTGCAGGAAATCCACAAGAAATGTCCTGAGTCAAAATTCAACAGTCATACAAAATTCGTTCGATTCGCATATTGAAATTGCGCTCTCAATGCTCACTGCAATATCACAAATAAGCAGATTCTACCAAACATGAAGCACTTACAGTTCAACCTGGTCGCAATATCCGCAACATGTCCAAGCGTCGGATCTGAAAGGCCAGTGAAAGTACCATGCTGCCACTGAGCTCCGCCTGATCTGGCCGTGGGATGTGAGTCTATTCCTGAGAAGGAGCATTGCAATTCATTACGCCTGTGCCCGCATTGTGGAAGACACACCAATCCTCTGACTCCGCAATGATGTTGCCTGCACCCATAAAGCATGATGAAACAATCAAAGCCAGAGCAGTCGTCAAGTGTCACGCTGCACAATATCAATTCCAAAGCCCTTGAATGTGTACAGTATAGGGAAACAAACACCAGCCCTTAAGCATGAACCAGTGAAGGTCCTCTGTTGCCAGACTTGCAATTACCCAGTGATGGGCCTTGCTGTTGTCAATTTGGGGTGATAGCCATAGCAGTGCATATTTGCATGCCTTCGAGGGCATCCATTTTGGAACCACTTACAGCCCTTACCATGCGGGTTGTTCATGGTGTTTCATTGTTTTTCAACGCACGCATACCTTTGATGGATGCTTCCTCGATATCTTGCCCACACACACATCACCATCATCTGCTTAGCTTTCCCCTAAAGTATACAGGAGCCATGAGTGGCTTCTGCTTTCCAACTTGGCCCAAGCATGCCCAAGCACCCTTACTTGTTTTCACCACGAAACCGTCAATGGCAGTTTGCCAGTCTTACCAATTACTTGCTTTCCTTTCCAATCCTTGTGAATCAGAACAAATCCTCACAAACGCTTTCCCATTGAAAGCTTCGGTTTCGGTAACACTCACGACGGCGGTTTTGAACGATCCAAACTTGTGGTCTGTATTGAGAGTTATTGAGTGTGCATCATCAAGTAAAGGGCCCTCCGGTGCCGCCAGTCAGGTGGCAAGTGGCAGTGCAGGAACTCATCGATATATCCTGCAATGGAGTCGCCGTCACTCATCCCACCTTAGGCGCGGTGCTGCGTTCGCTCATGCAGGATAGCAAAGCACAACCCATCTGCCTGGTACCAGAATCCACAAGCGGGATGCAGTCAAGTCTTTTGACTGTTCTGGCCACCAAATAGCATACTCCTAGCACTAGTGCTGGATCCAGGATCTGTCTAAACAAAGAACGAGATTGACAAGTTGAGTGCCTTCAACTAGTGACACATCGACAGAATGCTTTTGAGCTTCTCTTGTGCACAGAAGCTTTGACCACCCTTCGTCCCTCATTACGATCAGTCCTCCTTCTTGTCGCGGTGTTCGCGAATTTCAACTCGGTACCTGCACTCTCTCTCTCTCTCTCTTTCGGTAACAAACAGGTATCTCTGTATATGGTGGTTCATCTAAATTCGTTTCATCTGGAAAGTGCCTCTTCGCGAAAAAAAAAAGATTACTTTCGCGAACCCCATGTTTAACTTTCGCGAACTTTCGCGAAGTATGATCTTACATATTCAGAAGAAGTTCGGGTACATGGGTATATATATATAGTAGTTAACGGAAGACTCTGATTTCCTTCTGAGCTGGTGGTCTGAAAAGATCACAGTAAGCAAACAAATAAGGGTCCCTTTACCTACAAATAACATACATGGTTACCTGAACTTTCGCGAAAAAAAATATTACTTTCGCGAACCCTGTGTTTAACTTTCGCGATCTTTCGCCCGGTTGGTACTTAGTAACCGAAATGGCTGTTCCATATGAAACTCCTTTCATGGACCTTTAGATCGATGCCCATATCTGTTGTTATCAGTTGTTTTATATAGCTGTCTTGATGTGCCTTTACACGAATTACAAACACAAAACTGCGAATGCATAATGCAAATCGTGCCCATCAGTGAAGAAAGTGCCCCATCCTGATCCCCGTCCTGGGTTTTCGACCCACCAGTCGGCGGAAATTCACCAGAGCGGAGCCACGGAGCATGCTGGCCATGCTGCGGCACCACCAAAAGCTTCGCCTCAAAAGCCGCCATCCAACAATGTCAACTGAAGGAAAACAGTGGCAAGTGAGCCACTTCTGAATGGAAACATATGGAAACAAACGTTGACTCAGCCCACTAAAAGGGCTACAACATCCATGCAAACGCTACGAGTACCTGGATGTCAGGTGCAACACCTTGAAATAGATCTCAGACTGAGTAACATCAGTGACCTGAGCCATCTGGAGATACCTCAGGACAAGGACGCTTCATGTGTCAAGCTCGGTCACACACACACACACACTCAGTCTCTACTTTGGTGAAAACCTTGCCCTTGTCCTGCAAATGTGAACACATACCGGTACACGTGCCATGTTCTTTTCTCAAACTGTCAATCATACACTAACTTTAGTACGCACGCATTCACTCTCATGCAGTGGACAATACTGGAGCATCAACCGGCATCGTCTCTTTGCGGGTTGGCCACACCAAGCAATGTTGGAGTTTTTTGCTTATGTATATATTGTTTTTAGGAGAGAGAGAAAGAGAGAGACCTTGCTACATGCCCATTCACTGCAGCATATTGTTGAGGATGTCTCCCGTAGCTAGTTCGAGAGACTTTCTTACACCAACATGAGTGCCTGAATGGTCGATATAAGTTCAGCTGCCCCCAGTCATAAACTGACGCGAGTTGCTTGCAGCCAGCAGCAACGTGAAGAGAGCTTTGTAGAAGCTTCGTGCTGAAGTAAGTTTGAAGGCGCGAAGCAAGCGGACCTTGCAAGTCCAACCACGGAAACCGAAGCAGTTGAATGGTAGCGTCATGGCTTCTGGGCAAGTCAGGACAGTGTACAATAGGTGGCACGCTTATTAATGTCATGTGGAGCAAAGTGTGAAACTATCCTAATTGAGCCTCCCTGATCTGCTTGGCTGAGCTGCAAGATTCTTTGAGCTAATCTCTCCCGCCATCAGGACTGGCAGCGACGCAGTGCAGCTTGTCTTGCCAAACAAAACGCTCAGGCTATTACCACCTTGCCGCAATGCCATTGCAATTGTGACTTCTTTGTTAAATGCTTTGAAGCTGTACTGACTGGTTACCAGGTTCTTGTCTTGCTAGATTGACATGGTGAGACAGGCTGCTGTGGTGCGAGGCATACAAATCATCCAGCGCATACACAAGCTCTTCGCCACAAAAATGTTGTATAATGCGGTGTTATATATTACTTACACTCACACTTTCACCAATCGCCCTTGGATTTCCGTTGAAGCGGTTCGAGTCGTTCTTCCATCAATCCTAGAAGATTGATTTGCTTCAAAATTCAGTTCACTCACCAAGACAACCTCAAAAATGCTTGACTTTTTTGAGCTCTGCCAAGAGATACCCAAGGTTCTCAGGCTTTGTAGGAGATCCACTGGGACTGGAGCCTCACGGCGAACAAGTTTGGTTTCCATTGATGGAGGCGCTTTGTCCGGTGCCTCCAGTTGGAGTGGCACATGGCCAGATCGTGGATGGGGCGCTGCCAAACGCCACGCATGCAGGGCCTCGGAAGTGCTGGTTTTTCCAAACAGGAACAAACTCAAACTGGACAAACTCTACAACTCGCTCAATTGCAAACAAACTGCAAACGACAAATCCCATATCCAAGATGGTATTGCAGTGCTCACTTTGCTAAGGAGATGGCAACACGTTTTGGCGCCTTGGACAAGCGTCTTTATAAGACGCTGAGAAATACTGTGTGTGTGTGGCGAAATCAGTAGTGGCAATGTGATTTTTTTGAGAGCAGTGCAGCTGAATGTGCAGCGACAGGAGAGCCGCCATACCTGCAAACCAATTGACAGCATGGTCTCTGCTCAACTCAAAATTGAAACAAATTTGAAGTCGCTACACTTGGAACTTCTCACTTGAAGAGTCTTTTGGGGCACATCTCGTCTCCCAGCAGGGGTGCACCCAAGTGTTGAGCATGAACTCGAATCTGCGTGGAAAGTTGAAAATTGCCCATCTTCAAGGGGTTCAGCCTTTTTGCATCGAGTAACAAGGGCATCGCTAGTAGCAACGAGTGCACTACTACTACAAGTAGTAGCTAGAAGCTACTAGTAACAAGGGAAATCACTTCGGTTCACTTTAGCTACTAGTAGTAATGCACTTGGTGCTAGCAGCGATGCACTTGTTACTAGTAGTGAAAAGGCGGGCTGAACTCTTTGGAAATGGGATCTTTTCAGGTGGAGCAACATCTCAGAAGTGGTACTGCAAAAGCCGCCAGTCTCGATTGCACCGTTCAAGGGTTACTACGGCTTTCCGCCGAACGCGAGAGGTCTGTCCAAACTGATCCACATTGTCCGTATCTCAGCATTTCTTCCAACGCAATGTCCATGTGCAATGGAGAACCATTGCTTTTCTGCGAATATGTTTGCCGCTAGCTTCGCTAGTGGCGTTCCTTCGACTTGAATTGCCTGAATGCTGACCGACACAACTCACACATCCCCATTCCCAAACACATGATCAAATTCAAATTCAAATTCATTCAAAATCCAAGCTCGTCTTGTGCCAAGTCGTGTAGCAAACCTTTGGCTTGCAACCGCATCTGCAAAGCGGAGAATGCTAGAATTCCTTTGCCTAGCATGGGAAGTTGGAAAAGGCTCTTGCATATCGCATCCTAGAATGCACAGGCTCTTGTTCTTTGTGCAGGTTAAATTGCAAAAAAAACAACCCATTCAACATCTATAAATGTGCATACTAAAACCATTCTACCGTTCCACTGCGCAGGGTTTCTGACCCTTTCGGCCATCAGGGCGAAAGACTGGCGTCGAGGAAGTCTGTGCCATTCCTGGGTGCTTCGGGGTGCGAAGCTCGACGACTTGAGCGGTTCCATGCGCGACTTGGTTTCATCTGACCTGTACTTAGTAGGCTACTAGTAGCAAGAAGAAGCTAGTAACAAGGGCATCGCTACTAGCAAGCATTACTACTAGTAGCAAGGGCATTGCGGCATTACTACTAGTAGCAAGAAGCTACTAGGGAATGAGGGAATGAGCCTTTGGATCCATTCCCTCATTCCCAACTAAGCACAGGTCAATCATGCAGGTTGCACGGTGGTTCTGTGACTTCGATGACTACACTGCCGACCAGCTTCGTACTGGAGAAGTCCTGGCTTGGCTGTAGACTCTCACCTGGTTCGTTGGGGCGGGGGAGCATGCGTCAACTTCCTTTCTGCAGGCGGCGACAAATGCTATCAACACTTTGCATGGCCTTGCCAGGCTTCGTGCTCCAAATCCGAACACAATGAAGCCAAAGTCATCGTTGAACACAAACTGCGGAATCTCCGATCCTCCGGAGGATTTGACGGCGATCTTTGCTCGACTCCGCCAGCAAGGTGCCTGAAATACTCTTCTTATCTATCTGCTATTCTTTTTACCCTATGTCTGTGTTTCACTATAATTATATACATCTTGCTGAGACTCTGGGTTAGACCAAGGGAAATAGACTGATTCATGCAATCCCAGATTTGTGCTGGACAGGCTGAATTATTATGGCAGAACTTGTAGGAAAAGGACCTTGCTATTGATCCTCATGACACAGCGTCGCAAAGAATCTGCTCAAAGCTCTCCTTGTGAATCGGCAGAGGCTCCCACGGGGAGAAAGAGTTCAATGCCTCCCAAAACCGAGACTTCAGTGTGCGTAGCGATCCACAGGGACTGGCAAATATCCGAAACCGAAGCTGTGCTGGGCACAGATCAAGGCAATTTCGAAGCGTCTCTCCGGAAGTGCACTAGTGACTAGTGATGGAGACTGCTCAACTGTCTGCCTCCTCAACATTCTCAACCTCGCGACGAGGCACTTCCTGCCATGCGAAATGAAGCATACATGTCCAGTCTGCCGAGGCTTATCGGGTACTGGCGTGAATGAGTTGCTCCCAAATGTCAAATCCGCCGGAGACATTGTCAACTTGTGCAGCCTCATCATCATCATCAACGATCTGCTCCTGCTTGCTACCTGGCGAAGCATCTGGGTACGTCCACCTCAGCTTTGTCTCAAGTCCCAGCCTGTCAAAGTACCGCGGGATTTGCCCCCTCGTGCCTTGGAACCAACTCCTCTCGCTGTCTCAGAGATGATAAGCTGGTCATTTGACACATGATCCGCAACAAATGTCAAAAGTTATATCAGATATCAGCTCGAAGGAAGCTCTGAGTGATCGGCATTTTTCTTTGCCTCTTCTCGGAGAATGTTTTCCTCCCTGATCAGGTTCATTGGATTTCATTGGGCCAACTCAAAACACAACACATCATACGGTACAGCATCTTCAAGCAGGACTACCAACCAGATCTTCTGTCTACACTGCTAAACTTCGTCGACACTTCGCACAAAAGACATGATCTGAAGACATTGACGAACTTGCCTCATAGAAGGATTCCGAGCAAATCGGCCACGGTAGACCGGGCGATCCTTCAGAACCATGGATTGAAACGACTTCCACAAGGGCGATTACAGTACTGTAATTGAATCTGTCAATCTGTGTTCAACCCTTATGCCGCAACCTGGTCATGTTGTTTGAGCCGCACAATGTTGAAGTTGAAATGCCGCTTAGTTTCAATCTTCATCAAAATGAACTCTGCAAACTCGTAGGGATCGCTCCCAATCACGTAGTCCTCCCAAGCGCTCCTGGCTCAAACACAAGTATGATGGGAGTTCAAACACCATCAAGTACTCTCACACCAGCAATACTTGGTGTGATGTTGCAAAAAATGGTTCACAAAGCTGTGACTTGGTCCTCTTGTCATCTGGAATTGCTTGATTGGCAGGATGATCCTGACAACACACATTGTGAGCAAAATACATCCAAAAGCTATTGTGCGTGCAAAGGAGGCCTGGGACCCTGGGTGGGACCCTGGGTTTTTTGATCGTTTTTGAATGTAATACAAAGGGTCCGTCCGACATTAAACCAAACGCAGCCTGCCTTTTGAGATATGGTACAAGAGTTGGCGTCCCAAATTTCATTCCAACTGACATCTGTAGCATTGTTGGCACAAAAGCAAGTCAAGTCTCCATGCCCCTGTGTGTTCAATTGAATTGCATGTGACTCCCATGCCCAGACTCATACCCATCCTCACACACGCAATTAAATGCTCAATGGCGATACAGGAATTTCATGGAATTTCTATATATTTATATAGTCAACAGTTTAAAGAACCCTAATTTGTGGAGGCCATCGCCATTAGTTTGGAGGCCATCGCTCTTAGGTTGGAGGCCATCGCTACTAGGGTGGAGGCCATCGCTACTAATGTCAACGTTCGACATCCTTGACTCTTCGGACCGAAAGTCCAAGTTCAGCCAGCCTTGTAGACGTCCAGTTTGGCCTTAGAAAACCGCTCCGCTGCTCCGCTCGCTTCATTTTGGAATCACTCATGATGCCATGGCTTTCGGGAAAACACATTGCGTTGGAGCCGCGTTGGTCGCTTCGTCGCTCGCATCTCAGCACCATGCCAGTACTTGTGCACAGCAGGCTATTAGCTTCACGATGGTCGCCTGTAAGACATTTGTTCCAATATGGGACGTGTATGCAGTCTCACATTGTGCCAACACGCCAGTGTCGAATCGCTCTGAGACAACAAAGTGAAAGCAGCAACAGTGGGCACTTTTTATGCTCACTTCTTTCGCTCGTATGGGTAGATAATGGCATCTACGCGCCGAGAGAAGGGCGGACTGGATGAAGCCTGCAAAGCCACGTAACTCAAGAGCTTTAAGTCTGTCAAGTTCAACTAAAAGTAAATACATCATCGGAGGACCTATGAGGACACTCAGGCACACCTTCGGTCCGACAGCGCATTGAAAGACGGCTATGAATGCCGCCACAATTCCAAACATAAAAGTATAGTATATATATATATTGTGTTGAGCGTTATGTACTGTACTGTGTGCTTTGTATGAATTTCCGTGAGTCTCTGTATATTAGAAATTGATACTGTATTCATATTATGTAATCGACCCGTTTCAACTCCAGCCTTGGTCTTGTGTCGAGCTTTGTTTGTTTCAACAGCTTGTTGCTGCCGATATGCAAAGTCATACCTAAGTCTTTGATTCGCGCCATGAATGCCAGGAATTGATTCTGCTCATTCCCTCTTGAAGCAGTTGGAACATCAAGTCAAATACGCATCAAAGAACCTCATGTCAAAGTAGCCTGATGTTACCAACTCTGCGAGGCTCTGTACCGCTGACTGCATCATTTTTAGTGCACCATGGGGCTGTTCTTGTAGTGGAATATCTTTTCCAAAGATTCGCCGGTATGCCAGGCGGTAGTTTTGCACCTGACAAGCTCCACTTCCGCCAATTGGTCCAATGGTGCAAGCTGAGAAGTCGACAAACATGACAACTTCTGATACTCACAGGGCATCTAGCAGGTTAGCTCAAGCTAATTCTTTCAGTATCCACTCAATGCATCCGGATCGCTCGGTACAGCGACTCGCCCACTCCTTGGCCGGCTGAGAAGTGAGGATAGCATGACGCATGCAACGACACTCTGTCATTCGGCTGATGTGTTCATTCTTTGTAACTTGCTTGTGATTCTCTGCATCATGGGACTCAAACATCCTGGAGCTTTGTGAGTGCATATACCAAAATTGTATTATTGGAGTCCCTAGAATACCCCGTGCAGCTTTCATCGGCTTAGGGTCAAGTTTCTATGCGATTCGCACGTTCGTCCTTCCTTTTCCCTTTGTTTTCGCTCTTTCCTTGAAAATTGTCTTTCCCGAATGACAATGGTATACAGTAGAAGTCGAATCTCGTGGACACATACAAATGGTGTGGATGTGGGTTCTATTGTGCTCACCCGGCATGCACCCTGACACCAGGAGAGGCGGTGACAGGAGCGCATAGGACGTGCGGGCCTTAAGGGCCACCAGCCATGGTCTACTCACAAATGGCTTGCCTGCTTTTAGTTTTCTGCTTCCTTGCCTCCTTCTCTCCTATTCCTTTCCTTTTTGTTTCCCCTGTGGTTGTTTTCCTGTTGCCTGAGGGAATGAGTGTAAACATCCTTCCCTTCACTAATTCCCAGGAATTGCAATAAAGGGAATCGAGCTAAACAATATGAACATACATGAACATACTGTAGCTTGGCGGTTTCTTGGACGCCTGCAGCGAAGCGACGAATGAACTTTGGACGCTTCTTCTCCCCTCTTCTCTTCGGACCTCGATGACATGTCCAAACTTCTGGGAACGGGAGATGAAAAGTAATAGCTCAGCGTATGCATACGAATGTATTGGAAACTTAAAAATTAATATCAACTATACATATCTGCAAAACACACAGACATGTAGTTACATGCACATTGCAAGAGAACCTCAATGTCACAATCGTGCCGTTCATCCATGGTTTCAACAGCTCTCCTTGCTATAGCAAATCTGCGGGCGCTCTCTTCTGGCTCAAACACCTCCAGACCACCAGCCGAACGATCTGCTATGGAGCAGCTGAGGCAAAAGTCTCTCCGCTGCCTGTGCAGGGTCCATTCACCGTTTGATGGACCTAAACTGAACCAATTAATACTCATACTAAGCGATTTTCTAGGCAGTTACCTTAATCTGAGGTAGTCTTCCCGGTGGTATTGATGATGGAGCTGATGGCTCTGGCATCTGGTTGTTCTTCAAGTAGTTTTTAGACAGTGCTCGTAAATGATGCGAATTGACCAGCTAGTGCTCTACAACGCTCCAAGTGATTTAGCCAGTCAGTGTCTTACCTTGTCAAGTGAGTCAGCCCTGGATGGAATCCCAAGGAGTTACACCGGACAAACACATCGCCCTCTGACTCCGCACAAACACCGTATAGTCTAAAGATTTAAAGATCAGGACAATCAAAGGATCACGAGTGTTTCGCACTTAGTGTCACGTCCAAGCCGTCCAAGCCACGAAATGGAGCCGGGCAGCCATTGCTGCAGAAGAATGCAAAAGGATCTTCAAATGTTCAAAGGAATATTAGCACTTGCAGGAATCGTGCAATACATCATGTAGCGGAGGATTGCAAACATGTGGACACGTTTGTCAACGTGCTTCTCTGTTTTATTCTGTTGCCCTTTCATCTGACCTAGCAAGAAATGGAACTGGTATATCCCGTACATGCCAGTGGGATCTGGATAAGTTGACCTGATCGGCTGCGTTCACACAAACATGGAGTGCTGGATGCTCGGCTTTGATAAACTTGACGACACAATTTGGGCCTCTGTCATTTGCCAAAAGAGGGCTTCGCTGGAGTCCTCATCAATCTGGGTTGTGAAGTGTCTGATGACATCCAACTGATGCCTTTCACTTGAAAAAAGGAAAAGTAGTCAGCGAGTGGATCTGATACTACTGCGCAACAAGTACGGATGGTCCACGGAGTGGCTTTTGCAAATGCTTTTGGATTTTAGAACTAATCAGAATGAGCCTGCCGATGGTCTGTGATCAAATCCTCCTTTTTGATCTGAAAGCTTTCCTCAGCAACAGGACTGACAAGTCCATCTTGTAATATATATATATTTATATCCATGAAATTTCAATAATCCACTGAATTACTGATACAGGTTCACTTTGCCAACTCTGCTCCATAAAGCCAACCACCTCCAAGATAGAGTGCCGAGGCTCAACAGCACTCTTTCTATCATTCTCATAGTGAAATTGATTGAGAAAGTTATCCAACTCACGACCAGCTCTCAAAGCATCCAGCACCTTGGTCTCCGGATCCCTTTTCAATGACATGTGCTGTGCTGGAAAAGACTCTGCGATTTGAAAGTCTATCTGATCCCGGCCAATTGGAGAAAGGTCTTGCCGATGTACATGTGACGCTTAATAGCTTTCTTGTAGTACCTCCGCATTGGGGCAGCTTCTGGACCAGTCAACTCATTTCACCTGTAACTCGTTTCACTGAATGGACCTAGCTGGACCTCGCTTGCACAATCAGATTCTCACAATGAACACATTCAATACTTGCGCAGCTTGGAATCAGAACTTGGCTTCTACAAAGACTCTGCGCACGTTGATATGATGGCCCTTCGCTCAGCCACCGGAATGCGATAACTCGTGAAATCCACCAGGAGCTTCCATTTGCTGCTGACGGTGGCCTGCACGCTGGATGCAGTCAAGTACAGTCCATGTCTGCGGTAAACTGGCCTTTCTGCTTTCTGCATTCAATGGTTGTGTGAAGAGATAACAACAAGTCAACTCTGCCTCCAGGGCTGCTTGCAAGACCCGCCGTTTCCTAGAAACGCATCAAGGACATGATTCATGAATCCATGCACTTATCCGGGGACACCTGTCACCGATTGACACGAATAGTCACGAATATATAGAGAAACCGGCAACGGAATTAAGTGAACCTGTGGACATGGTTGGGATACAGACTAGTTGAACGGAAGGTATGCACACGGTTGCAAAATCGGCAGAAGAGGCAGTCTGAACTTTTTCACAACCGGCCAATATCTATCGCTCTTCTGTGTTCTACATCGAGCATATTATTTGGCATTGTTGAAATACCCTAAGTGAGCTGTGTTGAACACCACCGTTTGGTTATCAGGTTTTGATCACAAACTGCTGCTTTCACACTGCTTTGAGAAGGAACAGTTCCTTGTAGTTAACTTTATATATCTTCAATTGCCAAAGGCACTGCTTTGGAGGTTTTCGACACTGCTCCAGTGTGGAACGTCGGAGGAACATTCCACTCTGTTTGGGGATGCAAAGCCACTGCTCCCCCAGACGTTGGGACGGAGCTTGCAGGCGAAGGGAAGGAATGCTTTAGGAAATTCCAGCATTGAAAATTACTCAAAAAGCATCCGCTCGAATCACTGGACAACTGACTTTAGCTCTGCACAAGTCGGCAACGAGATGAACAAAGTACATGGGCTGACTGGCTTCTATCTATTCAACTGTGATCCTGCGGTGCTGAAAATCTAAAGAAGACACCATTTCAGTGCAGCGCTGGATGACGTCGGAGATGTATTGTAGATGTCTGGCCAGGATCGCCAGGCTCGAAGTGATCACGATTGACATGTTGTGTCTGGGAAGTCAGATGTCGTAGACCACTGAGATGGCGACATGCTCACTTTCGGGCTGCATGGGCTGTTACTATCAGACTCAATCTCAAGCTGAAACTGGGTCCCAAGTACCTCCAAATCAAGAGAGGTAACTCGATAGCTTCGTTGCTTTTTTTCAGCGATCCGTGCCGCCACTTCTCGAACGACCTCATCTTCAAGGGAAACGACCCGATAGCTCCTTTGAGATGGCAGCTTCAAGTAACTTCGCATCTCATCCAAATCCTTAGACTCCTTAGGTTTGATGCTGGCTGCCGCACCCATGGCTGATCTGCTCCGAAAGCCGGGCTAATTGTGAGCTTTGCTCGGGTTTCTTCAACCCTCGAGTCATCATCAGCTGCAAAACTTGGATTCAACATGATTTAAGAGCCTCCCGAGAGTCTTCAAATGCCAAACTCAGCCAAACTCCAAAGCAGTGGCAGTGATGCTTGGCCGTTGCAGTACATGACTTCCAAGTATTCTGAGCAGCAAACGTTTTGACTTTCCTGGCGCACTAAGCATCTGACCATTTTCCGTCTAGCAATGTGGTCCATGTTTCTAGTGGACTATATGGAACCGCCACACCCATTGACAGCCCGGTGAGCAACCAGTCTCGTATTGCTGTAAGGTCGGCAGGCATACCCAGTGTCTGTCTCCTGGCATGTGCTCAATCGTCTGTGGACATGCACTTGACAAGATTTCCTAATAGCTTAGCACGCCGGACATCCGCTGCCTGCATGGCAGTTGCTGCTCGAGCCCGTGCGAAGGTTGAGAGGTGCAAGTCCTGAAAACGATGCATGGGATTCCATGCCCGGATTCCCTTAGACCAAGTTGCTTCACAGGGAAGGAGAGAGGGGGAAAGGAGGCACAAAACTGCACAAAGATTAAGAATTCAAAGAATTTGCAGGAGGGATGTGGAAGTCAACATATCTTTTGAGGTCCAGTTCCAGCTGAGACTTGGGTATGCCTGGAAAATCACCAAACCACACTTTGCGAATGGGTGTCGGTTCATCCACCAAGGTTTTTCTAGGTCATCTTGGCATGTTCCACAAACATGTTTCTGACAAATCGCTGACAGGGCCTCGATTTGCTTGACTGGAACAAGTGCACCCAAATCTCGGACTGCACAAGCAAACAAACAAACAGCATGAGTGAGGGCCGTCCTCGATGCGACACCATTCCCTCTCGATGATGTGGCCTCAACTCTTGCTCGCGAGCATCTTAGCTTCGAGATTCTAGAAGATCTAGAAGCAACATGTTCTCAAAGAGGATCTATCTTTTCAAGACCGCGAGATTCTATCTAAGAACAAACTCGAACCTCCCCGATCAAATCATCGTCTTGGGAACGAAAACAGTTCCAGTGCATTGCAACTATTTGGCCAGCCCTACTTGTGAAGCACTTCCGTCTCCAGGCAATGCAAGCCAGTGTCATAAAAACTGAGTGGACACCGGACATCCAAAAGCTCTTTCCAAACCAGGTCATCCCGACACCGCCGCCGCTTCAATGCAAGGTATTCCCGTATAGTGCGCTGGATAATCTGCCAAGTGAGTGTAGAAAGTCAAATCAGAATCAGAATACTGGTCCAATAACAAAGATAAGAAAAAAACAAACATGCATTTGTCGCTATCACAACGAAATTTCACGAAGATCCGCACAATAACGTGCAACCACTCCATCTTATAATACGATTCTGCAAATCAGTCAAGAACGCACAACCACTTGCGATTTAATTAATGTGTTCGTGGCTGCACCCAAGAACGCAAAGACCCAGTTACCAAAACCTATGACAAGGTAGCACGAGCAAGGCGCCGTGAGCGATACCATTCGGTTTTGTTTCTCGGCAGCCAAACTCTGAAACTCAATGGCATGCTGTGCAACCAGCTGACAGCCCGTGATTCATTGCCAAGTTATGCTCGGCTTCTGAAGCTTGAGTGTGGGGAAACACACAACTGCCTTTTGTTCTACTCCCAGCACAGGCCTACCCGCCTTGACATTGTTGATGAATTGTTTCAAGGCTCCACGAATCCGCACCCATTCACCGAGCTGCTTCAGAAGCACCTGTTTCGGCACAGAAAGACTTGGGGCCCCATCGATACTAGCTTCTTGGTTCAACGTAGCCGTTGGAATGTCTGTGACTCTGTGACGGCGGTAAAGGTCTTCAGTCTCCAGCCAACAAATATTACTGTACGTCTGTAAGATACCCTGTTTCGAGACATCCTTTCTAATTCTTTGAGCATCTGCTTGGCAACACCGGCTGACACATGGAGCAAATCATCAGTAAGAAGCATCTTAAGCAAGGCAGATGCACCAAACAAATGTCCGCTGAGAGGTCACGGCGTCTTCTTCTGAAGAGGATCTTGAGCCACTGGCACACGAGCTCAAGCGCAGCTGCAATAGTCAAAGGCTCTGACCTTTGGTAGACTTGGGATTCTTCTGCATTTAAAAAGTGCAAACTTACAGCCGAGCCTGCACACAAGCCTGCATTTTTCTTCTCACAGTTCTAAGCTTCTTTCCGCGTGCCTTAGTCTGTGCGCGCTTTGAATCCAGAAGGCAAGTGCAACTCTCTACCCTGGTTGTTAATGACCAAAGCCACAATGTAGTGTGTTCTTACAAGTAGTTCCCGGGCAAGCCGGCGGCGGAAGTTTCCAAAAGAATAAACCTATAGGAAATGGGCATGTGGCAGGCTGATTCGCCGAGCTGCGATGTTCTTTGACAAAACAAGTTGGAGCCGACCATTGGAGCGAAAGCGAAGCAACCACCGTCAACTGTCTCGCAGGAAAAAACGTTGTTCATGCATTTTTGCAAAATACAGAATAGAGATGACTCAGCCGCGTACTAAAGTTGTACTACAAGTCGCCAGTTCTCAGCTTCCAGCTCCACGGCTTGCT